GCTACTCCTACTCCTACTCCTACTCCTACTACTACTACTACTACTACTACTACTACTACTACTACTACTACTACTGCGGCTACTGCTACTGCTACTGCTACTGCTACTGCTACTGCTACTGCTACTGCTACTCCTACTGCTAAAGGCTGCTATTGCTACTGCTACTACTGCACAGCACCACTTGACCAAAACATGTCTCAACGGATTGTGTCGGGCTCGCTGGCTACCGAAGATTTAACCACGCCTGCGGCAATCAAACCAATCGCAGTTTGACGACAGCCGGCCTGATTCGGCATCACATCCTCTCTTTCAATGAACGGTGTTTGCGTCATTCGAAAGGTTTCCTGTTGCAGAATAATGCACAACTCCCATGCGTTGCATAGGTTCATGCGATTTTCCGCATTTGCATGTGGACCCGGCGTGCCACGTGTCGCCGTCCAATCTATACTTTAGGAACCTGAAACTTGGTTGGTGTGAATCTTCCGTGACAGTCAGATCATCAGCCACTTGTCCCAATAGTTTCGGCAGCAGCTGAATAGAATGCCGCATTTATGCTCCGCGCGTTTTCTTGCAATGTAAATATTACATTTGCGCAAGGTAAACTTTGTAAAACAGGCGTGCCGTAGATGCAACCTACATGGTTCAGTCTGGCCCCAGACTCCTTCATTTTAACACAAACCTTCAGAGGAGCGGGACCGGACAGCTGCGAGCGTGGAGACGCTCCAGCTCCGCCTTATTCAACGGCTGGACGAGGTGTGCCCTTCGTTATTTAGTGTCGTTTTAAGTTCGGTTTAATGCTGATATCCTGCTTTCAGGCGAGCCTTTACTGCATCCTACTGTGTGTGCACAGGATTCTCCTGTGCACTTCAAGCTTTAAGGGTTAAGGTGCTTGGGGTTATCCAGACCTAGGCAGGGTTAGCTATTGCTGCATTACCGGCATCCCTGCTTATGTTAAGCAGCATACTCATGAGCTATCCACGGCTTGGTGGTGCACAGCCTCACCAGTCCTGGGCTCTTCACAGATCTTTACGGTTTGGGTGTATGTATACATATACACATATGTAAACACGGCTCCTGAGGTTTAGGGATTGACGCATGATCCTGTAACGAGGAACTGTAAGGTCCAATTAGGCAGTCTGGCAATGCGGCAAGCATTCCCAAACTCCCAAACTTTAGGAGTTTAGGAGCTCTTATGCGGCCCAAGTAGCACGATCCTTGGGGAGTCCAGGGTTTGGGGTCTGCTGAGGGTTGAAGGTACCCTAGACTGTAAAGCCGAAGTTCTAGACACTAAGGTTTAGGGAAGTCTCTTTCCAGTTTTATTTCAAGATATTGCAGAGGTGTGAATGATAAAGGGGTTGTATACCGTACCGTACAGTCTTTATATATGAAGATATTCCTGAAGATATTAGAGTATACCCTCGAACCCCACTCAGATACATTATGCTTTTCAACACCTGGGCGAACTCAACAACAAAGCCGCGAGTTTAGGGTTTTTGTGGCGAGGGAGAGCTGCCGGCCGTCGCAGCATTGTGGTTTGAGGTATCGGTTCGCGGCTTCGATCGAGGTTAAGACCTTGGAGTTCAGGCTGAACTTCGAAGCCGATGTCTGCTGCAGGGTTTTGAGCTTTCTTTTCGGTTTGTAGCAGCATCGGTAGCCCATACTTCTGCCATGACGCAAGGTCGAAGCGCGCTTTACACGCACAACCTCTCGCTGGGACCTCGGGACATTGGTTTTAGGCATCGCGAGGTACGCCGGCTGTTGCATTCAATACAGCTTCTGTTGCAAGCGACAGCATGTTTCGTGTTTTCAGTTTGCACATCATTTTGTCCATGCTCGCCGTGATCATCATTATCATCGTGGACAGCCCAGGCGTCACCATCACCATCATCAGCAGCCTTGACAGGATACTGTAATCTTCATCAGCACCGTCGACGACATAATCGCAAGTGGTCCCCCTACTGTATGTGTTGATCCTAAATTGCTTGTGTAGAAACCCTGCAAAGCAAATTGATACATTTTCTAAGGGGTACATGAACTGTCGAAAGCTTAAATCCTGAAGCTAAGCCCACGAAGGTGCGGAGAAGGATGCTGTGGACCACCTGACAGCCGTTCCCTTAGCTCACATCCGAGCGTAGATAGGGCTCATCACAGGGATTTGCAGGTTTCTTAGAGGGGACATACTTAGCGCTCATTGCATTTCTGGCCGCAGGGAACATTGCTCTCTGGACCGAAGACCTGAAAGGTGCACCATCCTGTACCGTGTACAACTTGGAAAAGCTTGGGCTTCAACTGGCAGCAGGGTGAGTTGGTACTGTTTTTTCTTACTTGTATTTTTTCGTGCTTGTAACTTGTTCCTTTCGTGGAGGGGCAATAGTGTCTTTCTGCTAGCCAATGCCCCACCCAGCCACCCCACCGACCCCACCTGACCTCTCCTGACACCACCCCACGCCCCCCCCACACCCACCCCCACCTCCTCCACCCCCACCCCCCACCCCACACCTACACCGTCACCACAGCGCGAACCTTTGGCCGAAGACAACAACCCTAAGGAGAAAACCCGCATGAATCTTTACCCTAAACCCTAAAAGCAAGCCCTGAACCCCATACCCTAAACCCTACAATCAAACCCTAAACCCTATACCCTAAACCCTAAAAGCAAACTGTAAACCCTACATTAAATGCCAACCCTAATTTGAAAAGCAAACCCCTAAACCCGGCCAACCCTAAGCCCTATGCCCTATATAGAGAAAGCAAACCCTTGTCCCTATACCTTAAACCCTACAAGCAAACCCTAAACCCCACAAGCAAACCCTAAAGTTTATTCCCTAAACCCTCAGGGCAAACCCTAAACCCTAAACACTAGAAGCAAACTGCAAACCTAAACCCGAGACCCTAAACCCTGGAAGGGTCCCAATAGAAGCAAACCCTTAACCCTAAACCCTAAAAGCAAACCCCAAACCCTAAATGCTAACCCTAAACCCGCAAAGCAAGCCTTAAACCCTAAAGCCTCCAAAGCAAATCCTAAATCCTATATGAACCCTAACGCAAACCGTAACGCAAACCGTAATGCAGACCCTAAAGCCTATACCCTAAACCCTACAAAGAAGCCCCTAGACGCTAAATAGAGGAAGAAAGGTCACAACGAACTCTGCTGTTTTGCCCTCTGCAGGGATGCGTTGGGTGTTTTAGGGAAGAAAGTTACAACCAAGAAGTTTTATAGGAAAAACCAACAAAGCCCAAAGTAAGAAATAGCATGGCGCGGCACTGCTGTTTGGACCTATTCATGCAGCTTACTTGCAGTCGGGAGAAAGGGTTTGGAGCTTACAGAGGGTTCAGGGTTTATGGTCATCCCTTATAGTGCTTGAGGTCTAGGGCTGAGTGTTGAGCAAGATGCCTCAATCTTGGAGTCCAGGATTCCCAAACCCTACCCTAACCTACCAAGACCTACTTTGTTTAAAACCTGACATAGATTTGACCCGACAGAAACGTAGGTGTGGGGTACGGTAAAATAAACCCGAAGCCCTTCAACACCTGAACCATTACACCCCTAACCCGAAACACCTAAACCCTTGAAACCTTGACACCGAAACCCTAAACCCTTAACCAACTGAACTTTTGCAAAACAGCCCTGAGCCGTACGGAACCCTTACAAAAGCTTCAAAGGACCCCTTATAGAACTCTAGTACTTAGATCCCCAACCTAAGCTTTAAACTATTGGGGTTTTGATTGTTGAGTAGGAATCGGAAAGTTTAACCTTTTATGTCTGTGGCTTATTGCGACAGTAAGTTTAGAACGTATAGAGTCCTTGCAGAACCCCTGCCACAGAATCGTTATCTATCACCTTGAATATAGCCTTTATGTCCCAGACGCTGGCGAAGCAGATCTCTGATAGCATGGCAGATTCTCAGCGACAGGCGGGAACTTGTGGGAAAACCCCTAAACCCTAAACCGGTGTCACTGCTTAGGGCCTTTACATCTGAACTCCAACAGCTGCTGTTTGGCATCGGCACCCTCAACCCTCAAAATCCTCCAAACCCTACTATAAATAGTCACCTATACTATTTTGTGTGGGTTCCTTCTTCCAATTATGGTATTGTACTGGGCCCCCCAAAACCGTATTCTAGCTATCATCATAGGGATCCTTAGGGGTGTAGGGGGAGGGGGGGTAGGGGGCCTTAAGGCCCATAATAAGGACTAATAAGGCCTATTTAAGGAAATATAGTCCCCTACACCCCTCCCCCCTACACCCCTAAGGATCCCTATGATATAGCGCTTCGGCCGGGGATAGTTTTGTCCCTCAGCTGGGTTCAAGGATGCCATGTCACAGAGCCACTGCGAAAGGGATTCAGGGGTTTAGGGTTCGGGTTTAGGGTTTAGGGTTTTCCTTGAAGAGGAGGGTTTAGGGTTTAGGGTTTCCTTAAAGAGGAGGGTCTAGGGTTTTGGGTTTTCCTTGAAGAGGAGGGTTTAGGTTTAGGGTTTGGCTTGAAAAGGAGGGTTCAGGGTTTATCCGGATTCGAAAGGCCCCAACTTCAGTAGGCTCGCCAAGATGTAACCACGAGCCAAAGCGGTAATTAGACGACTAGGTTGCGGGAGGGCTTCGACGGTGGTGCGGGATACTTTCATCGGCTATCCTAAAGGCTCCATGTGCCCATAGAGTATAGACTTAAGCTTTAAAGTACCTATACAGGGACCCGTTTAAGGCTAAGTCTCTATTATAACGGTACACGGCGCCTTAGGGTATGCACGGTCAATGATGCGCAAGGCTCCCACAATTCCGTCAACCCACAAGCCATGGCTACCTAGAGACCCATCCCATACCTCTTCTTTGGGATACCTTAAAGGTATCTATAGGGTTCCTTAAAGGGATCTAGAGGGTTCCCTAAAGGGATCTATAGGGTTTAGGGTTTAGGGCTAGGGTTGAACCTCCAAGTACCCCTTTTTTGGGATACCTGGTTTTATGGTTAGGACCTGCTATATAAACGAGTAGATAGCCTAAAAAGGTGTAGGGTATGAGCCTAAAGGTACTCTAGCAACATGCTATTCCGACGCCATAAACTTCTCCTGAAACCCGTCCAACCAAGGAAATTTTTACGAAGCCTAACACCAATCCGACCAAAGAAACCTAAAAACACCCCGTAACACCCTATCATGCCGTTGTCAAGACCCTTTACAGCCCGAATCCGGCCAATCCAAACAGTGTCAAGCCATGCCACCCCCCCCTCCCCCGCCCGGCCACCCCTCCCCTGAACAATGATCAACTACAACTCTTAGTCTGTTAGCGCTGAGACCTAAACCCTGAACCCTTAAACCCTAAACCCTTAAACCCTAAACCCTAAACCCCTAAACCCTTAAACCCTGAACCCTAAACCCTAAACCTTAAACCCCTAAACCCTAAACCCTTAAACCCTTAAACCTTGAACCCTAAAACCTAAACCCTAAACCCTTAAACCCTAAACCCTGAGTCCCTAAAATCCCTCTGAAGACCTCTTCTAATAGGCCGAAAGGCGCTTACAATCGGCAGAAGCTCGATGCGAGACGGCTGCCGAGGTTCTTGGGCTTGAAGGCTTAAGAGGCTTGTGATTTCTAGGCTGGACAGGATTACTATAGGGCCGAATTACAGGATTAAGGATTTCTTATCTTAACAGAACTGGAAAGCTATGGGGTTTGGGATTCCTGGGCTTAATCAAGTGGGCTTCTATGGTTACTTGGAGGTTCATGGGACTTAGTAACTAGGGTTATCATTAAGGTAGCTACACTTATATGTACTTACAACCCCAATTAGGGTACTTATAACTGTGCTTAGTAAGTCCCATGAACCTCCAAGTAGGACTTCTGGTCCGCATGCGGGTCACATGGCCTGTTTAGGACTCATAGGCTTTTCAGCTTGTGGGCGTGTTGCATCGCAGGTTCATGCTACTGCAAGGCCTCAGGTCAGTAGCCGGTGCAAACTGCGCTGTCTACTGCACTGAGGCTCCATGAGCTAAAACACACACATATATGTATGTATGTATGTATGTATGTATGTATGTACGTATGTATGTATGTATGTATGTATGTATGTATGTACATATGTATGTATGTATGTATGTATGTATGTATGTAGGTATGTAGGTATGTAGGTATGTATGTAGGTATGTAGGTATGTAGGTATGTATGTATGTATATACATACATGCATATGTGTGTGTACTAGTTCATGGAGCCTCAGCGCAGCAGATATGTATGTATGTACGTATGTATGTATAGATATGTGTATATATACAGGGCGCCTTTAACGTTTGGTTCCTTTATTCAGGAGTGCCATAACGGCTCAGGATTTAGGGTATGAGGGTCCATGTACTAATGCAGTATATACTATGGCCTCACTGTAGTTCCTATGCTCGTATTTTCGGACCAACGTATCTACTACATGGGCACATGGACCCTTAGCATGACGCAGAATTCAGACGACGGCTCACCACCACGTGTGTGCGCCCAAACTTGTCAGTGCGGAGGATTGCCTGAAGCATCATGTGGTGCTGCAGAGGCTTGCCAGCCATGAGAACTAACCCCTAAAGCCTTAAACCCTCTGAACGGGCAAAACTCCAGGCTCATGCCTAGCAGAGTGTTTATGCCAAGCCATGTGTGAGCCAGCAGGAATATGCAAAGCATGTCTCTCGTTGGTTTGTATATCATATTAGTTATATCATGTATATTTCTATATGTATATGTCTGTATGTGTATATATATGTGTGTAAATATACATATGCTGTACATATAGTATGTGTTGCATATGTGTGTATATACATATAGACATATGTGTGTGTATATATATATATATATATATATTCATAAGCATGTATGTTTTGGGCAAAAATCCAGAACACAAAACAAACACATATTTCAGATCCGGGTTTAAGGTGTACGGCTAAGGGTACTTTTACTTGTACCCTGATAGTATGTATTTTGGCCATAGCAAATTAAGCGTAGACAGGATCAAGATCAGTGTCATTCATAGAGACGTCGGAATAATGCGAATACACCCTTAGAGTTGCATATAGTTTTCGTAGAACCATACGATAGTGTTATATCCCCCATACCCCGTTCTTAATACCTAAGGCCCCCGTTTTACATAATCACTTCTCCCTTTTATTAAACACTCCCCTTAGAATCAACATACATTGGGGCGAATCCTCCGGAAATCATCCCTGCCCTTTGAAATCTATTCTTAATTAGGGCGGAGCAAGAGCAAGACAGCGGGAGCATCAGCAGAGCAGCGGCAAGAGCAAAGCAAAAGCAGGAGAGGGAGCACGAGCAAGAGCAGGCGCAAAGGCGGGAGCAACAGCAAGAGCAGGAGTAGGCGCAAGAGACGCAGGAAAAGCAGGAGCAAAAGCCAGCGCAGGAGCAAGAGCACAACACCTCAAAGATTGTAGTAGAGTTAAGATACACACCCTAACAATAGAAACACTGTCCGTATTTCTATTGGGGGGGGGCCTCCCGTTTAATATTAGGGAGAAAGGATTACTTGTCGCTAGAGCGTCAGCAGCCCCGCATCTCAAATCGACCGCGCGTTTAGCTTCCCTGCCCAGAAACATTGCGGCCAAGTCGACCGTTGGCTGAAGGACCGGTTGACGGTTTAGTGTTTAGGGGCTCGGGAGAAACCCTATATGTCCCAAAAGCAGAAGCCCTAACATACATCAGAAAACGCTAAAGTCCCAAGCCCTCGACCCTAAATGCCTAAACCAAAGAGAGCAAACTACAGCCGCGCGATGAGCTGCAGGTCAACTCTTCTTTGGATGCATGACGTTGAGCCGCGACCAGGATGGACAACGCACGTACTCGAGCAGCGGCGTGGCTGTATCCACGGAGTGGCATCTGGTGAGTGATGATTTGTGCAATCCTGGTTGGACGCCGAAGGATCGTAATTACATCCACAACTCGTTCCGCTGAACGAGCCCAGCGCAATGATCCAGAGGGCCGTGCCTGTTGCGATCCATGATTTCCAAACTGGATGCCCGGGATGCCTTGAGCCTTACCAGAGACTCCAATATCCCTTAGCCTTAGTCAAGGAAAATACCGTAGATTACAGTAGGATCCCGAATATGATTTAGGGTATGTTCCTTAGTTAAGGGATATTGGAGTTTCTGGGTTTGCTGTGTAATGTAGGGTCCGATGGGAGTTTGGTCCAAGCGCTTATCTCTACTAGGAGGTTCATGAGACCTCATAACTAGGGTTATAATTAAGGTAACTACACTTGTAACTACTTATAATCCCAATTAGGGTACTTATAACTGTACTTACCTAGACCCTCCATCTACCCTCTATTAGACCCTAAGTACCCACGATTTGGGACCATGTACCCCTATTAGGCCCCTATTTGAGGGTACAAGGAGGGTCCTGGTTAGTAAGTCCCATGAACCTCCGAGTAACGAGGGCCCCAGGGGATGGACTCATACAAGGCTTCAAACTGCCAGGATCGCGGGTACGATCAGTGGTGGCCATCCTAGAGCCCAGACCTCTAACCCCAAAATGATAAACCTACGGTGGAGGGTACCTTGAAGGGGTTCCTTTAAGGGATCTATGATCTCTGGGGGTTTAGGGTGTAGGGTTCAGGTGGATGATATTCATCCTGCGTTACCTTAAGGACCCTAAGCTATGGAAATTATGGTATATTCCTCATAATGCGTAAGGCAGGATTTATATCCCGGAACCCTTAAACCCTATAGAACCCTTAAAGGAGCCCCTGAAAGGTACCCTTATAGATCCCGTTAAAGGAACCCCAGGACTTATATCATCAACCCTGACTCCTAGAGCCCCAACCCAACCCCGACCACCCAGGTCCTCGAATCCCGGAGCGCTAATCCTAACTCGAAGAATTAAACCCTAATCCTTAACCCTACATCCCGAAGCGCCAAACCCTGAAGGGTTTAGGGTTTGGGTTTTGGGGTTAGGGTTTAGGGTTTAGGGTTTAGGGTTTAGGGTTTTAGGGTTTGGGTTTGGGGTTTGAGGGTTTAGGGTTTAGGGACGCGCGAACGTGGAGCTGATCGGAGGAGCTGCGTTCGGAGGTGGAGTCGACGTCGAAGGCCCTAGGGGTTCGAGCGCTTTAGGGTTTCTGGTCCAGGGTTTAGGGTTTAGGGTTTAGGGTTTTATTATAGGGTTTAGGGTTTAGGGTTTAGGTTCTAGGGTTTAGGGTTTAATTATAGGGTTTAGGGTTTATAGGGTTTGGGGGTTTAGGGTTTATAGGGTTTATAGGGTTTAGGGTTTAGGGTCCTTTTAGGCTTTTGGACTTGAGGGTTTTTAAAGGGTTTCCGTTTTAGGGTTGCGCAGACCCCTTGGGGTCCAAAACGTAGATCCCACGGGGGGCTTCTACAACGTACTGTTTATTTTACGGGTCCAGGTATCTCCTTAGGAGGGTCCGGAATGTCCTACGGAGAGTCCTTGGTTCTCTTCGGGGTCTCAGAAATCCTACATTCTGAGGTTCCTCAAAGTGTTAGGATCCCCAGGGCAGTAGAAAAGAGGTTCCCGAATTTCGGGGTTCTGCTTGCAAGATCCCCCCAGAACGGTTACTTATTAAAGCTTCCTCATATACGTCCGGGTCTAGGTAGAGAAAGCTGGATTCGACCAGAAACCCAAAGCCTCAAAACCCTGCGAGCCTTGGGTTCTCTCCAGCAATCTCGATAGCGCGCTAGGCTTCATGCTGAACCCTGAAGTGTTAAAGTGCCCTGCTAGGAGGTTCATGGGACTTAGTAAGTACAGGTATAAGTACCAACCGGGGTTATAATCAGTTATAAGCATAGTTACCTTACTTATAACCGTAGTTACTAAGTCCCATGAACCTTGAAGTAATTCCCGAATCTAATAAAACCCTAGAGCCCTGATCCCGCACCGCTAAACCAAAAGGCATCCCAACTCTAAGCCCTAAACCCTCCGAAGACCATTCTAACACCCTGACGAATCATATGTGGACACCCCTAAAGCCCTTTGGAAACACAACTTTCAACAATGTATCTTCCCATGCCAAACAAGGCTTAAACATCAAACCCCGAACCCCTAAACCCGTACCTAAATTCCTAAAAGCCCGTAATCCCTAAACCCCTAAACCCTACACCCCTAACCCCTAAACCCTAAACCCCTAAAGCCCTGAAGCTTAAACCCTCCAACCGCTAAACCTCAAACCCCCAAACCCCCAAAACCCTAAACCCTAAACAACGGAAGTTGGAAGGGCCCAGCCATTGCCAGGCCACCGAGCTGGACATGCAGCGACTGGACCGTTGCATGACGGAGATACTTAAAAGGTTTAGGTGTTTTTTTTTGGGGGGGGGGTAGGGTTGAGGGTCTGTAGGGGTTTAGGGTTTAGGTTTTGGGGGGGTTCGGGTTTAGGGTCTGTAGTTTAGGGTAGTTGGTGTAGGGGACGTAACTCCATAAATTAATAGTGTATATGGACCCTCTGGGTCATAGGGTACTTGAAGGATCATGGGGCTTAGAAACTAGGGTTATAAGGGCTCCTTTAAAGGGTACTACAGGGTTCTGCACTAGGCTTCCCTTTAAGGGTCTAGGGTTTAGGGTCTAGATAAAGGAGCATGGGGCTTAGTAACTAGGGTGATAAACAAGGTAACCATACTTCTTGTTACTTATAACCCCAATTAAGGTACTTCTAACCTTACTTACTAAGTCCCATGATCCGCCAATAAGTACTTGAAGGTTCAGGTTTTGGGGGGGTTAGGGTTTAGGGTCTAGGGGTTTAGGGTGTAGGGCATTGGGTTTAGGGTAGTTGGTTTAGGGTTTTGGGCTTAGGGTTTAGGACGCTTTAGGGTCTAGGATTCAGTGCAAGCAAGGCTGATATACCTAAAGGTTCATGGGACTTGGTAACCAGGGTTGTAAATATGGTAGCTATACTTATATTAATTGTAGCCTGGTTAAAGTAGGTACAACTGTACTTAACTGAGATAGGCTACATTATTTCATCCGCTCTTTATGCTGAATTCTGTATATGCGGGTTTCCGAAAATCGGGCACCATAACATATCACACTAAATGCTAGGATCCTTAGTCATTATAAGGACTCCGAAGTAAGGTACCCCTAGTCTTTTACAAACTCCCAGATAAGTCCTTAACAGGTAGGCCATTCACCCAGGGGCCCGGGGGTCGTAGGTACTTGGAGGGTCGGGGGACTTAGTAAGCGGATTGACAGTTGAGAGTTGTGAGTTAGGGACGTAGAGATTCGTTTGCGCTTTATTCAGTGCTGCTAAAACCCTGAACCCCTAAACCATGTTCGTCGGGGGTCCAGGCAACCCGGCAAGGCACTGAAGCTGTAACCCTTAAACCCCGAAGTCTTGAACCCCCTGCACCCGTAAAGCCTAGCTAAATCCTGTCAACCTTGAACCCTGTCAAGCCTGAAAGCTAAACCCCGTACCATAAAAGCCCTAGGTCCTAGACCTTCAACATCAGGGTATCGAGCTGAGGTCAGTTGCAGGAGACTGCCTCACGGAATGCTTTCCAGGACCGAGAACGAGTTTGCTTTTCTAAGTTTACCTTGGAATCAGGTTCTAGCGTTCTGAAGGTGTAAAAGGCAGCTGGCATCCTGGATCTAGGAATCAAACCGGTTATAGAAATCTTCGATTTGGGATGTCGGGATACGGGTTCTGCAGCCCTTCCGCATCTGGAGTTGAAGACATCCTGCTTTGCTTGCTTTTATTCTTACGTCTGCAATTTTGGATTCATTAGGCTGGTTCAGGTTTCCATCATGTTCTCCGGAAAGGGAGTGGACGGGTGGACGCACCGCGCTGCAGCAGCGCGTTGATAATGGGCAGTTTGCTTGTAGGGATTTCGATGTGGACCGATGCCTTGCCTAGTATACACTATACAACTAGTATCTACTTTGGAATCTATAAACCCTAAACCTTAAACCCCTACACCCTAAACCCTGAAGTCCATAACTAGGACCTAATTACTTTGGGCTATTTGGAGACCCAGGGTTGCGTGTGCCGGTTCAGGGGCACCAGAGCCGAAGCCAAAATTCGTCAAGGTACCGCTCGGGGCCTTAACCCTAAGGGTTCAAAGGACCCAATAATTAGGTACTCGGTTTGGGGATAGTAGTTATGTAGGTTAGGATTTTGGAGAGTTCATGAATATTGGGTACTTGGACCCTTGGGGTAACAAGTAGAATAGGATTCCTTGAACCGGTCCAGCAACGTTGAGGAGGACGATGGGAACCTGCGCCACAGAATCCTAAATCGACCATGGGCTAAAGCATGCGCTCATCGAGCAAGTATATCTCGGCCATCGGCCAACCCATACATGGAGAGTGGCCGATCCTAGTTGCAAGTGTTCGGCGTGTCCTCCCGAGACGGCCAGTTATATGTGGTCTTTCCCTCATATATCCGACATTGTCTGACCCTAACTCCTGAACTTTGCACTTGAACCCCCGAAGCCCTTTGCGGTGTAGAACACATGAAGGGCTTTGCCGTTTTAGGGTTCGTGCTGCGTGCGATACTTGTGATTCTTAGACTGAGCCCTCAGCTCTGAAAGGTTCGGTTCCAGATAGAGGACATGCTGAAAAATCCAAGTCAACTCAATGAAGCGGTGATGGTCTGTTTATTGCAATGACAAACCTCCTATACAAGCTTCACAGCACTCCTGCGAAGAACCTTCAAACGGATTCCCGGAGACGGCAAAACCGCTTCATGATCGGTTGAAAAATTAGGGCAACCATACTGATAGTTGTTTGTAACCCCAGGTGAGGTGCTTAAGCACCTTACTTACTAAGCTCCGTGAACCTCCAAGTAGCCCCGAAGATGCCAAATCCACGCGAGGGCTTTTCGTTTCGGGTTGTATTCAAACCTAAGCATGGGTACACTATCCCTAACCCCAAGGGTCCAAGTACCCAATAATCATATACTCTCCAGAATCCTAGCCTACATAACTACTATCCTAAAGCCAAATACCTGATTATTGGGCTCTTTGGACCCTTGGGGTAAGGCTCAACACAGCCCAAAAGCCTTATATAGTATGGTCTTTGGGCCCAAAAGCCTGAACATGTGAGTGCTTAGAGCCTAATGGTATGTCTAACCCTAGCTACTAGGCACCATGATTCTCCAATTCACGCCCCTACCCCAAAGGCTCCATGCACCTTTACAGTAGATACTGAAGCCTTCAAAAAGGGGTCCCTATATAGGTACTTTCAGGCCTAAGTATATGGGGGTTTCCGAAAATGGGGGACCCTAATATGGTACCCTAAATAGTAGGATCCTTAATATAAGGACCCCTAAATAAAGTACCCCTATTTTCGGAAACTCCCATATACTATGCGGGTACACGGAGCCTTTAGGGTAGATTCACCCAAGCAAGCGGGAGCCTCGGAAGCAGGAACAGCGCCTTGCGGATTTGGAGCTGCAGCAGTGGGGAACTTGGTTTGTGCTCAGGGTTTGGAGGCTTAATATAGGGGCCTATTTTTTACTAAAACTATTTTGGGGGTTCTTTATTATAACTAAAGTAAAATGGGCCCCAAAACCCTATTCTACTTATTAAGGCCCCTATATTAGGAAGTTTCGGGGTTGAGGGGTAGGGTTTAGGGGTGTAGGCTTTGTTGGGATCTGTTGGGGGCCTAGGACTGCAGGCCTTAATTGTTCTTGAGGATCTTAGTCAAGAAGCAGGGAATCCAAAATAGGTACCACATTCTAGCATCCCGGTAGGGCTGTTCTTTAGGGAGGCCGGGCGTCTGCGGTTCGTCTGAGATTCGTCTGGGGTTTGGTTTTGAGGAGTGAGCGTGAGGGATTAGGTTACAGTTATGGTTGTGGGTCAGGCTCTAGAGGTTTCCCTAAGGGTCCAAATGACCTAGGAATTAGGTACATAGGTTTGAGTTTCTAGTAGTTATGTAGGTTACTATTTGGGGGAGTATGTGACTATTAAGTACTTAGACCCTTAGGGTTTTCTCCTAAGATTTTCCGCTTGGTCATAAGCTATAGCACCGCGCGCTTCCAGACCCGACGCCCGAAACCCCGAACCCCAAGCCCCAAACTCGCAAGCATTATGAAAGCTTCTCTTAGACACCCCCAACTACCCTCCACCATACACCAAGTGCCCACTATTAAGGGCCATAAGGACTCTATCTATTCTATACCCCAAATGCCCACAATTAAGGACCATAAGGACTCCATCCTATACCCCAAATATCTACAAGTAAGGGTCATAAGGACCAAAAGTATATACCCCAAATACCCACAAGTAAGGGTCATAAGGGCCTTAAGTATGTTCTACCCCAAATACCCCCAAGTAAGGACCATAAAGACTCCATTAAAGGGCATTTGGGGGGTGTCCTGGATGAAAGCCTCTCAGGCCGTTCTATGAAAGGCTCAGCTTTGGGGTGTCTTAGCCACTCCGATATCCGTGAATAAAGGAATACCTAGGCTTCCTTTAAGGGATCAAGAAGGTTAAAGGTCTAGGGGACTCCAGTCGTCCTTGATTTAAAGGAACATTCCTCAAGTTCTAATAGGATCCCTAATATGGTTTAAACTATATGCTTTAGTTGAGGGTTATTGAAGTCTCTGCCTAGCAGGCCCCCACCTTAACCGTCTACCAAAATCATTGGGTGTTGCTGTTGCCATTGTTTCTGTTTCATTTCCTGCTGCTGCTGCTGCTGTTGCTGTTGCTGCTGCTTTTGTTAGCGTCGTTCCAATGGAGATGGGGTCGTCATCCTCAAGCTTCTACATAAATTTCGGGCTCCTGAATCGTGCAAACCGAAAACCGAAACCCCAAACCCTAAAATCCCACAAAGCCCTTTTGCAAGTTCCCAGCACATAGGTATACATGCCGGTTTAGGGCTTAGGGCCTGGACGACATGCACGAACAAACACCCTGGACAACCAATCCCCAAACCCCACGACTTACACAAGAGTCGTCACTGTCCCTTAGCCGTAAACTCTAAGTTTATAGACCCCACATCCATACTTGGACGTTCATGGGGCTTGGCAAGCAAAGTTATAACTGCCTCCATTGCGGGTTGTAAGTTATCAGAAATGTGTTTTCCTTACTTCCTGCTCCAGTCGCGGAGCCCCTTGAAATTTGTAAGTAGACGCTAGCGCTTTAAAGGAATTTTTAAAGGGAGCGCCATTATAGAACCCTATAGTACCCTTACATAAAAGGATCCCCAAACCCCGAGTTGCTAAGTCCCCAGAACCTTTAAGTAGATCTTAACCAAAACTTTTATAGACCCCTTCAAGAAACCCCTGAAGGAGCCCCTTCAGGAAAGGAGCCCTCGAACTTTCAAGCCTTTACTTAGATCCCCCATACCTAACCTTTAGCCTTTTTGGGTTTTTATTGTTTAGTAGGAATTGGAAAGTTTAACCTTTTATGTCTGTGGCTTATTGCGATAGTAAGTTTGAGTAGACCCTTACACCACCCATCCAGGTCGAGGCTGGAAGCCGTGGAGGCGAAATTTGGAAAGATTTCGGAACTGCAGGCACGGATGGCTTAGTAGGTTTTGGATTCAGCACACTAAGCTTTAAACCCTTCCTCACTTACCCTGAAGGTACATGTAGCCCCTACTAGGGTTTGCGGTTCAATGTTCAGGTCAAAGGGTTCCTTCTGTACGGGTTTCGCAAAGGGCTCTCTTAAGCTATTGGTTCTATATCTGTTCTTGGTGCTACTCTCGGGTTTTATACGGGCCTGACGACGACCTGTATAGTTTGCTCTTTGGTCTTACCCTAAGGGTTGATGTGGACAATAAGTATATACTTTGGCCCGGGATCCCTACATAGGTGCTCTGGTGTGGAAGGTATATATATATATATATATGTATATATGTGTACATATACTGTATAGGTATATCCGCATGGCTTGTGCAATAAAACCTACATAAGGCTTTCAAATTCATGCCGGCTTAGCTTAGAGTAACTAAGATTGCGCAACTATCGGTGTGTAGGGCTTCGAGTATCCGGGGATGTGCAGTTTGGGGTTTCAGAGGGTGTGTATATATATATATATATATAGGCATATGCACATACACACACACACACCACACACTCAAATACATGTACTTATAAGTATACATATACATAAACATACACATATTCGTGTGTGTGTATATATATATATATATTTATACACACATACATGTATGTAAATACATAGTGACATATTTACATATGCAGAGATACACATATATACATGCATACACACACACATATGTTATTAGCGTCTTCGGCTTTCCAGACTCTGTTTTTTTTTGGTGTTGTTTGTGGCGGGCTTTGAGATGGAGAGGGTCTCGGGGAAATAGACAATGTAAGACCAGGTCAGGTATGGCAATCCCAGACAGATTTTCCATCAAGCCCACTGCACGCATCAATGTAGGATGTCGTCGAATCATGAGCTCTGCATAGTTCATCATGCACCTCAAGTACCAGGTGTTGTGAAACGAACAGTTTGCATCGCCAAGTGAAAAGCCCCAACTTCACAAGCCCGAAAGTTTCCAATAAGACTTGTAAAGCATCACGAAATCTGCGAGACTTTGAATCCCCCCAGTCATGATGGGACTCCTTACCCTGAGCTGTAACACTCTTAGGGTTTAGGGTGTAGGGGTGTTTAGAGTTTAGGGTTTTAGGGTTTAGGGTTTAGGTTAAACCTGTTTTCCTCCGTCACCCTGAACCTTGGAAACCCATTCCACCCGGCCTGAAACGACAGCTTTGCAAGATGTCTGTCTCGTAGCCCGTACCCCAAGGGCCCATGTACCCTTCAAACAGTATGTACTTTGGCCTTATGGAAGTCCCTTTATAGGTATTTCGGGGCCAGACTCTCCGGGTACATGGACCCTTTGGGTCAAAATACAATCGGAACTCTGAACCGGGTTCTGAACCCTGTCTGAGCCCACAGCCAGTTTCAGGTGGATCAGCGCCTGAGGGAGCAAAAGACCTACATGGAGACAATGAGAGCTCAGGTGTGGACGCTCTGTTGTTTTCTTCAGGACCTTGTAAGGTTTTACCATAAAAAAAAACAATGTTCTGGTGTCTTTGGGCTTGCCCTGCCCAGACACTCTGTAGTTCTGGCTCCCTAAACCCTCAAAACATTGAGACTTCTCAGCACTTTTGCACCCAAAACCATCAGAGGTCCCAATGTCTTGAGCTCCCATAGGTCAAAACATTGGGACGTTGAACACTTTCGCAGTCCGGAGTTTCAAAATCATGAGAGGCCCGGTCCCAAGGTTTTGTTATCCTATATACACCAAGGCGTTGATTGGGACCCTCAATAGTGTTGAAAGTTCAAAGGCTCAAGACCATGAGGGGTCTCGCTGTTTTGTGCCCATGTTAACTAACTGACACACATTGTACTTTCCCACAGTCCCAACACCAGAAGCCCGAGCTATCATCTCGTCGATCCAATAGCCCTTAAACCACCTAGTCAATCCGCACAGGTTTTTGGGGAGATCTATACCAAATGGGAACTTCAGACTTACAATACAGCACCCTGTAGATACCATGCAGATAGTCATAACGTTAGTGGCAAACGCGTTAATCCAATTTCTAAAGAATCCCCCATCTATTCTAAACCCCACATACACAACCCTAAACCCTGCAAAACCTAAACAATGAATCCTACAGTAAACCACCCAGCCCGCAGTCACAAAATAGTCCCAGAGGGTCCAAGTGCCCAAATATTTAGTAGGGTTTTAGACCCCCAAATCCATACCCTGAGTGGTTTTTGGACCTTGAAACCCTACTATTTGGGGCACTTGGACCCTCCCAGAGACTCCAAAATCCCTTAATTATTGAGGAATATACCTTAAATTATAATAGGAGCCCTAATAGGCTTTAAGGTATATTCATTAATTAAGGGATATTGGCGTCTCTGGGCTTAGTGTTTCAACCCGCAGTCCGATCGACGTTACGGGGACTTGGATGCCTTGATCCTCTCTGTGGAGGAGACGGTTTAGGGTTTTAGGGTTTAGGGTTTAAGGGTTTGGGGTTTAGGGTTTCGGGTTTGGGGTTTAGGGTTTAGGAATTTAAGGTACTTTGCTGTATTCGGGTGGCAGGGATCGGTGCAGGACTTCGGGCACGGTGTTTGAGTTTCGGGTTTACGACAACACGCGTTTGAGTCCAGGGCAGGCCCAGATAAGCCAAAAAAGCAATTAATGTTAGAACCCTAAATTAGAACATCATTTTGTGCAATTAAGATTGTACAGGTTTTACAATACACAACCTCCAAACTAGTATTGTTAATTATTGAGGCCCCTTTAGTATGCCATGAAATCCCGAACCCCAACTCGTAAACTTTAACCCTCTAGAAACCCGAATCGTCAAGTCCTCAACACCGAAAGCCTGAACCGGCCGCGCAAGATTGCTGGCCTGATCTTCTCACAACTTTCAGATTGAAGGTTTCTGGTTTAGTGTTAGCAGTGTTCTGTGGCCCTGAATCGGGTTGGTGACATTTCTATTGTAGAAGGTAAGAGTAGAGGACTTCGCAAATTTGCTTCAGGTTCAGAAGTTCTACGAGCAGTGTGCGGGCACTGGCATGTTTCGAGTTTCGGGTTACAACCTTCAATCGCAGGGTGTCGGGGTGCAACTCTACCCGGAACCCTGCGAACGACACACTCCCGAAAGCCAAAACGCTGAAACTCCTTAGGTCCTTAGGTAACGAACAGCTAACCCACTACACCCATCTACACGCTGAAACCTTAATTCTGAAACTTTACCAAACCATAAACCCTAAACCCCAAACCCTAAACCCCTAAACCCTAAACCCCTAAACCCTAAACCCCTAAACCCCTAAACCCCAAAAAACCCTAGACTCCCCCAAAAAACATGACCCTTCCTCGGATCGCAGGAGCAGGTGCGCAACTTCGATACTGCTCGGACCAGCGATGGCTTGGAGCACAGGCGGGTCAAAAAGGATTCGGGGTTAACAATTAGTATTAATATTAAGAATAAAAGTAATTAATAATATTTGTAATAATAATAAATAAATAAATAAATAAATAAATAAGTAGATAGATAGATAGATAGATAGATAGATAAATACATAGATAAATAAATAAATAAATAAACAAATAAATAAGTAAATAAATAAATAAATGAATAAATATATATATATATATATATATATATATATAATAGGTTGAGGGCTTGTAGAGTTTCATCGATCCATAACACAACACCCTACCTATAGGCGCATACCCTACCTCTTTTCTGGGGTACCTAGTTCTTTTGTTAGGAGCTGTTATATAGACAGCTAGGTAAACTACAAACGGGTTACCTATGAGCCTCTAGGTACTGGGAAGTTTATCGGACTTAGCAAGTACAGTTATAAGCACTTGAACTGCGATTATGACTAGTTGTATTCATGTAGCTACCTTATTTACAAGCCTAAATAAGTACTAAGTCGCATGCTGTTTTAAGTAAACCCCTAAACCCTTTACTACCATTACTATGAACTTCCTTTCGTGAAATAGGCCCTGAACCCTAAACCTAGGGGTGGGCTCTCTCGCAGAACGCGAAACCGCTGGCTCCCTTGAGTCGCGGACTTGGGGTCTGCACAGTATACGGTTCGAGAGAGTTTCAGGGGCTCCTCTAAAGGGATCCGTAAGGGTTCCTCAAATAAGGGCTCCTATAAGAGATCTTTAGGGTTTTGGGCTTTAGGGTTTAGGGTGATACACATCCTGCATTACCCATGCCCTAGTAAGGAATATACCATAATTCCATAGTTTAGGGTCATTAGGGTAAGGCAGATTTTTATGACCAACCGTAGTAGTAGACTGGGTAACCTTAAATTAAAGGGGGCTAGGGCTAGGGGTTTAGCATTCTATAAGGGTTCTACAAACATTCCATGGGGTTCTATAAGGGCTCTATAAGAGAAGGGGTTTTAGGGCTTATGGTTTATGTGCGTGGGGTTGAGGGGAGCTCCCGCCACAAGGTTGCATTCGGGGAGATATTGCATCATGTTGTTTTCTATATGCAGCGTGTACCCGGGATTGTCGCATTCAAGAGAGCTCTTACTGGAGCTCTTACTGGAGTGTCAAAGCCGGGTTTGGGTTTAATGGTTTAGGGCTTAGAGTTTACAGGGTTAAGGGCCTAGGGTTTAGGGTTTATAGGGTTCAAGGTTTGGTACTGCCTGGTCTTGGGGGAAGCAAGGCCAGCCTTTGAAGAGCTCTCGAGAGCATTGTTCTCGGCGAGGGTGACTTCAGTATGGCGGACAGGTATGCTGCTGGATGCTTCCTTTTTGCAATTTACGCCCGTGCTCGGTGCAGCGACACGCAGGCCTGTGGGAGCATGATCGAAGATGTTGTTCAGCTGGAGGACGGGCCACAGGGATTCTTGGAAGCCATCGTGACCCGAACTAAGACAGCTTACACCCTTGCGAGGAAAACCAAGTTCTTATGCGCTGGTTTGGCTTCGAGCTCCTGGGCCCTGAAGCATTTACCAACTGTCGAACAAGCAAGTTGCCTGGAAGACGAAAGCCAGGGGGTCAGCATCTGGTACAACCCCAAGGTCCCTTCTTTCACAGAGATATCTGATATACGGGCCTTCATAATTCCTAAACTACTTTGGGGGTCCTGCTTAAATGTAGTATCATGGGGCCCCGAACCCTTCTCTAATGATTAAGGCCGCTATAGTAGACTTTAAAGTGGGTGTATGCCAGGGCATAACAACGAGCTCGCGGTTTGCACGCAGGCACACGAGGTTCCCATCAGCGACGTCCTGGGCCCTAACACCCCAGACCATCCTTGACCTAAAATCCTAGACCCCGTAGGTAGTGCTCCAGTGAGTCCTGTAACCTTAATAGTAGGCTACTAACCATGTGCTTATGTAGCCTCATAGCCCATTCAGGTAACTGGAGCTGTGGGGGTCTTGTCTGCTCCAGTTACAGAGAGCTATATGCGGCTCCATGGCAAACATCTGACCTACGGACGATGCTATGGCAGCTAGTGTTAGGGTGCCGAGTTTGGGACTTAGGGTTCAAGGTTGGGCTTCGTCCGCAGAATATCACAGGGCGTAGTAAATAAGGCTATAAGTATTTTGACTGGGGGTATATAGGCAATAGTATACGCCTAGAATCGCCTAGAGCTAATGTTTAATGCAGTTTATACGTAATCCGAGGTTCTAAGTATTATAGATCCCTTTGATATTTAAGGAACCCTTCTAGGAAGCCGTTTAGTCAGTCCCAGATCCTTTGAGTAGCGGCTTGCTTTCATATCCTTCAGCGTTCAGCCAGCGATTCAAAGTGTCTGCAACCGAAGACGTCTAACCCGGGCTTAGGGTTTTGGGGTTTAGCACTTTAGGCTGTTCTGGTTCTGCGTGGGCAGGCTTCGGCTGGATGCACTCGAGGGCCACACGTCCGACATGCAGGTGGCTGATGTCGTAAATGTAGTATAGGGCGTACGGGGGCCTTGATTATGTCAATAGGGTTGTGGGGTAAGCTACAATGTGTAATGTAGGAACTACAAGCCAAGAACATGATTGTATTTCCGACCGCTGCGCTAAGCCTGCAACAACAAGGGGAGTTGCTTGGTTTGCTGGTCTCGGATTGACTCTCCTAACCCGGGCGCGGCTTGTTCTCTCCACGTCACTTTGTCGCGTGCATGGGGTTTAGTTTGCAGCTGGAATGCGAGTCTGGCGATGAAACAGTACTGATGTTGGAAAGCTCATCGCGCTTGAATAGCATCAGGCCCTGTGACATGCAGAGATACATTGCTTGTGTTCAGGACATAGTCACTACGCCCGTGTCGCTCCGTCCGACACAGCCGGAAGCATCTGAAGCATTTTTTCAGACTTTGACAGCAACCGCCTGCAAACATGTGGGAGTTTCCAAAAATAGGGGACCCCAAATATAGTACCCTAAATAGTAGGATTCTTTTTATAAGGACCCCCAAAATAGGGTACCCCGTATTTTCGGAAACTCCCATGTTTCAAAGATCAAAAAAGCCCGGACCCCGTGTTACGCACGACAGCTCCAGACTTGGGGATTTCGGACTTGGGGTTTCAACCCGAGTTCAGGTTCGGGGTTTGAGGTTCATGGTTCAGCAACCACTGGCTCTTCCAGTCCGTTCCTTCTTCCATCCAGAGTTGGAAGGTTTCGACGGTTTCATCACGAAGCCTGTCATCACACTCCCAGCGACGTCGTCCAAGAACAGAAGATGCTGTGGAAGAAAGCATGTACCAAGAACCCTGCTAGGGGGTTGAGGCCCAAGTTGGCTGGTACCCGTTTTTTGCTCCAGGCTGCCAGGTGCAAGTTCTAGTGCGCCAAAAAGCGGCTACGAAGCGAAAACACAAACGGGTTAGGGTTTAGGGTTTAGGGAAACAACACAAACGCCTGTAAGTAGACGATGCAGGCGGCCATCACGCGTCAAGGGGCCCTTTTAGATGCATCTCGGCGTCAGGCTTTATGCAAGAGGGGTGTCATGTTTAGGGTTCAGCGTGAGCTTCAGGGAGTGTTGGCTTCAGGCTTTTTTAGGGCGGTTGAGGGTTTTAGGGTTTAGGGTTTAGGGGGTTTAGGGTTATGGTACCGGGTTCAGGGACAAGGCATGTATGGTTGAAGTTTCATGCTGGTCTGGTGTTTAAGGGCTTGCGGATTCCATGGTTGTGCTTCCCCTGAACCCGAGCCGGGCTTGAGATGTGAAGTTCAATGGTTAATCCTGGGTTTAGGGTTTAGGGTTTTGGGGATCCAAAAACCCTACCGTTTTAAGGGTCAGACCCTCTAATTAAGGGGTCATAATCTACTATTCAGTAGGGTTTGGGGACACAGGTAATGTTTCGGAGTGTATACGCGTGTAAGGTTCAGGATTGGATGCCCGAAGATTCCCATCCACAACCCCTCTGATCATTCCGGTCTCTGGTGCAGAGCGACAACAGCTTCTACAAAGGACCTTGTATAAACATGGCGTTTAAACCTTTTACCCTGGACCTCGGAAAACTAGAACTCCGGACCCTGAACCCTAATGCATAAGTATTGAGCGTGCAACCCAAACATAAGCTACTGAGCTACTGGTACTACATAGTAGGGTCAAGGTCTGGCCGGCATCTGTACTTGGAGGCACCGCGGAGCGTGGCAACCTTCGGTTTTACGAAGTGTGGCCACGGATTGGATGCTGACCCTAGTCAATAAAAGTCAAAATGATACTCATAGTAAAGATAGATAGGGCCCTCAATAGTGGCGAACCCCCCTGCGCCCCAAACCGCCATGCAAACCGTGAAGCCTTAAACCCCAAACCCCGATCTCGTTTTGCGACCCGCTTGCCCAGGCAGTTCGCAACACCTTGGAGGCGGGAGCTGAGGATATCTCAGCCACCAAGGTTTAGGGTATAGGGATGAGGGGTTTAGGGTTTAGGGTTTAGGATATAGGGATGAGGGGTTTAGGTTTTAGGGTTTAGGCAAAAAACTCCCAGCGGGTCTGAACCCCTGTACTTGAATCTTCTTCAGGGTCTTTTGTGGTTATTGAAGGCTTCGATAGGGATTATAAGGTGGGCATACCTTTGTGTATAGAGGCTTCCCACCCCGAATGCTTAACCGTGCCATCCTCAGCACAAGGTTCCTGACAGGATACTGATGTCCAACATTGTGCGCACCATCGATCAGAACACTCAGCAAGAGGGGACAGGCACCAATGTGCAGCCGTTCCACAGCGCACTCAGCACGATGTCAGCACGGCTTAGAAAGAACTCTTGCGGCTGTTTTTAAGGTATGTGGGTGTAGGGTTCAAGGGTTCCTGTGAGAGCTCTATAAGGCTCTTACCAGGGTCAACCAGAAGTAGGGCTTGTTCCTAGACGCGTTGCTTTCAAGCTTGCCGACAGTTGTTGCTGTAGGGGTTCCTATCAAAGCTCCTAGAAGTCTTCGATATACTCTGACACCAGATCCTTAACCCTAAACCGCCTAAACCCCGAAACCCTTTCCTTCCGAGAACCGCTCTCAGACAGTCTCCCTTAAATGAAGGTTATATATATATATATATATACATATATATATATATATATATGTATATACAAATATATATATATATATATATATATATATATATATATATATTAACTATATATGTATAGTTATCTCATTTATAATTGCAGTTACTAAGTCGGATGAACCTTTGAGTGGTCCTTAAGCCTTCAAGCCTTAGTCATGTGGCTCCGGACCTTAAAGATTGCATCTTGAACCGGATATTTGAAATGCCATCTTATCATGTTGGTAGCTGAATAGGTAACCTTGAGCCTTTTGGGGTTCATATACTCCTACCATCATTGAAAAGGTTAACTTTTGGGGGCCCAGGGCACCCACTAAATCCCTACACCCTGAACCCCTAGAAATCCCTTTAAAGGAGACCTAAGCCCAAAACCTGACAGATCCTTTTTGTGGTCTAAGGTACTCAACCCCTAATCCTGGGGATTGAAATAGCCCAAAAGCCTTGTATCGCATGGCCTTTGGGCTCAAAAGCCTTAATATATGAGTCCTGAGATCCCTAAACCCTATAGATCGGATCCCTTTAAAGGACCCCTCATAGATCCCTCTAGAGGAACCCCATATGAGTCCTTAGATCCCTACCCCAAGGGTCCAAAGGACCCAATAATTAGGTACTGGGTTGTAGGATGGTAGTTATGTAGGCTAGGATTTTGAAGAGTGTATGATTATTAGGTATTTGGACCCTTGGGGCTAGGGGAAGGTATAACTCAGTACCCCACCGCGGACCCTACGCAGGGACTGGAGCCGATGAGAGCCACCGCCGCCCGTCGGATTTGTTTCTGCAGTTTTAGGGTTTAGGATTTAGGGGTTTAGGGTTTTAGGGTTTTAGGGTTCAGGGTTTTAGGGTTTAGGGTTTTAGGGTTTTAGGGTTTAGGGTTTTAGGGTTTACTTGGAGGATCATGGGACTTAGTAAGTACTGAAAGGGCTCCTTAAAGGGATCTATAGGGTTCCTTAAAGGGATCTATAGGGTTTAGGGTTCAGGGTCTACTTGGAGGATCATGGGACAAAGCAAGTACTTAAGGGGCTCCTTACAAGGCTCCTTAAAGGGATCTATAGGGCTCCTAAAGGGATCTATAGGGTTTAGGGTTTAGGGTCTACTTGGAGGATCATGGGACTTAGTAAGTATTGTTATAAGTACCTTAATTGTGGTTATAAGAAATTATAAGTATGGTTACCTTATATATATATATATCCCCAATTACTAAGTCCCATGATCCTTTAAGTAGGGGCCCAAAAAGCACATAAGCACAAGCATCTTATACGTAGATTCCTACCTTATTGGGCTTCACTATAAGGGGGGTTATATGGGATATCCCTATCCTTGTTTGTGCTTATGTGTTTTTCGGGGCCCTACAAGTAGGTTTCATGGTTTAGGGTTTAGGATCAGTCAAATGCTCCATGTGCCTGTACAATTCGTAATCGTAGATTCTTACGCCTTAAAGGGGTCCCCATCTAATAGGTACTTATAAAGGCCTAAATGGAAAACTATATGGGCACATGGAGCCTTAGGGGGTGTGGGATATCAGGTCTGGTGTTTTGGTTGGGTTTTTTAATGAGAATGAACAGAGGCTTATGGTTTAGGTAGAACAACGTGCAGATCCTGATCTGATGTCTATGACGGTTGCACCTTGAAGTTAGCCCACTTAAAGCTTTTCAAAGGAGAAAAGGAGGGACCCTTAATGGGGACCCCTACCCTATAATGGGGCTATATAATGGGTATAGAATAGCCATATTAAGGGTATATACCTCCCTCCTTTTACCCTTGGAGCTTTCAACTGTCAAGTAGCAACTTGGCGATTTTGCTCTCAGAGTGAAGTCCGGGAGCTTTGCAACCAGAAGCCACCCTTTACCCCTAAACCCGAGACCCCTAACTCTAAAACCCCATGAATCCTAAAGCCATGAAAAGTCGCCGTCAGAAGTCAAGGACTCGAAACGGCTTAGGGTTGATGGAAGCGCTGGTCTAATTCATGTTATGGCTCAGGACCTGTTGCTGCGTAATATAGTGATTAAATAATTACCGATACTATTTTGGGGGGTCCTTCTTGTAAGTATGGTATAATACAATTACCCCAGAACCCTATTCTGACTATTATGGCCCTTCTTGTAGATGCACAAGTTCTTAAAGCATCAGATCGCCATCCCGAAGCCCTAAGTTTACTAAACCCCCCACCCTAAACCCTTTAGGCTTTAGGGTTTAGGGTTTAGGGCCCTACGACCCCCCAGCTTATACCCCTCAAGCCAGAGTGTCATCCAGACCCCGAACTCTGAATCCTAAGAAGACTCGAGCCCGCGACTCGAAGATTCTAGGGTGCAGGGCAGAAGGATCTACTATGGTTTAGGGGATTTAGACTTAGGATTTAGGGATTCAGGGTTTAGGGTTTTGGGGGGGTTAGGGTTTAGGGGTTTAGGGTTTTGGGGTTCTAAACAGGGGGATCCTTATTATGAGTATAGTATAATGGGCCCCAAGACCCTATTCTAATTATTAAGGCCCCTATATTAGGATCCAAGGTTCCAGGGTTGTCAGGGTTTCGGGTAGCCTTGAGCCTGGAAACTTGAATCCTCCATCGACTAACAAACCGAAAGCCTAAGCCCTTTAATATAGGAGCCCTTACAATAACAATAGAGTTTGGGGGGCCCGTTATACTATATTTATAATAAGGAACCCCCCAAGGCAGTATTGGTAGTTATTTACGCCCCTATACTACCTCTAATCGCAACCCTAGCTCCTAAACTCTAAAGCCTCAACCCTGGGGAGAGACTGCTGGGAAGGTCATCTCGCTCGAATCCATGCTGGCTGCTACTGACGAGCAGTTTCGCAGCCGCGGAAAGGACTCCCGAGCTTTAAGAGGTACGTAGAACAGGGAAACCTAGATTTGTGGATCGCATCCGTTAAGCGTACTTGGCATATTCTAGGGTGTTAGGCGTGTACTGGGAGTGCTGTATGGGTTTTTGCTTGTTTGTTCGGGTTTAAGAGCGCTCCACAGGGCTTCGTTAGGTTTGTTATACCGTTTTACTTTTAATGTGGTATGAGTCAGGTTTATAGGGCCCATGCACGACTCTAGCATGAACTTTGGCCTTACAGGGATTCCTATACATAGAAGCTCTCATGTCAAAGCGGAGGGCTTTCCGCCTTATGACTTAAACATATCTGTAAGACCGCCTGGAGCCCCGGGCGTATGCCGCGGTATGAGAAACTCTGCAGCTTAACTTCCCAGAGACTCCAATCTCCCTTGAGTAAGGAATATGCTTCAAATCATGGTAGGATCCCCAGTATGAGTTAGTAGTCGAGCCGGGAACTTTAAACCACTTTGGGGTAGTACAACGCAGGTATCATCGCTAAACATTAGCGTTTACCTGTAGTTCCTTTCAAGACTCTGTAGCCCTAAACCCTACTTGGAGGTTCATGGGGCTTAATATGTACAGCTTTAGCTCTCTTAGATGAAGGTTATACAATTATGCCTGATTGGTACTAGTTGCCTAATTTCTAACAGTAGTTAATAAGTCCCATGAGCCTTGAAACAGGCGCTACACCATTGGGAAGCATAACGGCCCAGTATAGAACCTTAACTAACCCTAAACCCCAAACCCTAAACCCTGAACCCCTCAAGCATAGTACCTTGAAAGGATACCTGGACCCACAGTTACTACGTCCCATGAACCTCTAAGCAGGCCCCTAAACCCCAAACCGCTTAACCCCCAAAGCACTCAAGGCCAGGGTTCTTTAGGGTTTCGAGTTGTACACTTTAGGGTTTAGGGTATGGTTTTTTGGGCTTTAGGGTTCACCTGTGGCCCCAAACCATGCAAAATAGTAGGTTACGGTTACAGGGTAGAACCCTTAAACCGGTAGGGTTTTCGGATCCCAAGGCATGGTTTAGGGTTTAGGGGGTTTGGGGCTTTAGGCTTTAGGGTCCCGAAAAGTCCCACGCAGGCTCTGCATGAGGATACTTAAAGGATCATGGGACTTAGTAATTGGGGTTATATATAAGGTAACCATACTTATAATTACTGATAGCCCCAATTAAGGTACCTATAACCTTACTTACTAAGTCCCATGATCCTTCAAGTGCATGAGGATATTGTCCGCCGAAGGCTCAAACCTTCCACGATCGCTTACCCAAAGGCTCCATGGTACCTCTATAGTAGATACTTAAGCCTGAAGGGGTTCCTTTCAGGGTTCCTTTAACGGGTTCTATAGGGTTTAGGGTATGTATATACATATATATGTATATACATATATAAGGGTCTATCGCATTCAAATACTAGATAAGCCTTAATGAAAGGGGTCCGTACATTGGTACTGTAAGTATCTACTATATGGGCACATGGAGCCTTAGGGTGAACTAAGGAATACCTAAGGAAAGGAAAGGGACAGGAAGAGCGAGAGGAAGGAGAAACTCCAGGCCAGCCGCGAAGCAGCAAAGGAACGCCGGGCCACCAATCAATCCGGCCGGGTATCGACAGTCAATGATGTGCCGCAAAGTGGTACCGATCGCGCAACTTCCCCCTCAAGAAACATCCTCAACAACCAAGTTCAATCGCAACAGGAAGCCAACGATCCGCAAAGGATCCCAAACGGGAACCCTAAACCCCTAAGCTCCTAAACCCCTAAACCCTAAACCCCTAAACCCAAAACTCTAAGAGCCATTCGCTGGATCCGGCACGTCGGCTCTCCTCCTCGGACGCCCGCTTTGGCGATCTCTGCCTGAAATTTCTACGCTGCCGTGCCCTGCCCTTTAAGGGATCTATAACCCTAAGGCTCCATGTACCCTTATAGTATACACTTAGGCCTTAAAGTACCTATATAGGGACTCCTTGAAGGCTTAAGTCTCTACTATAATGGTACATGGAGCCTTTGGGTAAGGGATCTAAAGGCGTTTACAGTTTAGGGGACTTCAAAAACCCTTAGTTTGCAAGGTAGGTCTTCCCGTTGAGTCTTAACCATAAGGGTCCATGTGCCCAAACGATATAGGGATTGCTTTAAGGGCAAAGTATATACGATTTGGGTACGTGGACCCTTAGGGTTGAGCTGTAATTCAGAGAGCAGAGTACCTATAGTCTCCATTGTAGTTCCTTTTTTGGTTTAACCAATTATATATATTAGGGATCCTATAAGGTAACCCAAAAAACGAACTACAATGGAGACTATAGGTAGGTTTTACGAGTATTATAGGTAGAGTTGCAGCCGTGCTGATTTGGTACGTGGGCCCTGATGGGCGGGTAGGCAGTTTTCTGGAATCTACCCTGCACGGGGCCCTTATGCTTGTACTAAAAGTCCCCAATGTACCCACAGTATATATGCTTTGGCTTTAAAGCAAGTCCTATCGAGACACTTTAGGGCCAGTGTATATAATGTACTTTTTGGGTATATGGGAGTTTCCAAACCTAGGGGACCATAGTTATGTACCCTAAATAGTAGGATCCTTCTGAGAGGGACCCCAAAATATGGTACCGCTAATTTTCGGAAACTCCCATATGTACCCTTAGGGAATGGTGTGCACAGACTTTTGCGAGACCGTACAGAACTGCGGGAGCCCGGATTGTAAAATGGCCCTAGGCCTACGTACCCTTATGAGGACACTTTCCCATTTAGGGTTCCAAACCATGATAATTCGTTCAGAAACCCTACATTCTACTGTATAGGTACTTGGACCCTGTTGTATCTGGGGCCGACTACTTGGAGGGTCGGGGGACTTAGTAAGTAGGTAATAAGTAGACTTATGAGTACCCTAACAGGGAGCCTAATTGGGGTTATGATACTTATAAGTCTATAAAATAACTACTTACTAAGTCCCCCGACCCTCCAAGTACCGGCCAGGAGTGGCTGGATAGCCTGCAGCATTCACAAAGTCTCCACGACGCTGCCGGCTTGCGCATGAACGACTTCGCAACGCAGCTTCAGGTGTGATGCTGGGAGCATGTGGGGGTTGAGGCCCATCGGGTTTTAGAGCTGTAGGTGGAAGGCCTTATCCAGGCTTTTCAGCGGTACACTGTGTTACTTTCAGGTTTCTGGGTTCCTATTACAAATAAGAAGCCTGAAAAATACAAATACTTTTTCCCATTGGGTTACTGAACAGCCTAGATTATAGACCCCAAACTTAGGATATGGGGTGCAGGTCTTCCGGTAAGGGTTTGTTCGGCTTCTCACCTAGGTCCGGTGTGAAGATATGTGGGTTGGGAAGACTGCTCAGTTGACGCTTCAGATCCACATACTTGTAGCCTGTCAACACCATTGGGCTCCACATAGCTCAAGCCCTAAGGGTCCACGTATCCAAATAGTTGATACTTAGGGTCCCAAAAAGCACGTAAGCATATTGGATATCCCTATCCTAACTTTTGCTTATGTGCTTTTTGGGGGGCCATAGATACTTTGGCTTCAAAGCAGTCCCTATATGGGTACTTTGGGGCCAAAGTACAAACTATTTGGGTACATGGACCCTCAGCGCAAGGTCTGTACCATCTAAGGACCTTAGACCCCAAGGTAGGTACTCTTTGTATACATGGAGTCCTACACCCCAAACCGAGACCTTGAACCCTAAATCGAGTCCTAGGGATACATGTCAACATATACAGGCAGGCAGGTAGGCAGGCAGGTAGGTCCTTGCTTGTACTTGTACGTATCGTTGTTTTGGTCGGTATTCCAAATTTACAGTCTTGTACAGGTTTACATAGATATGCAACATAAGTTACTTCTATATTGGTATATGTATGTATATACAGATACGGACACATATAGTCACATCATATAGATACATACATGTTGTTTATTCTTCGCATGGCTTGCTTTCGGTGAATGCGCCACTTGCACTCAATTCGACAACAAGGTGTATGTACACAGATGTGCATCGAAGTTTGTTTGTGTATACATATATATATATATATATAGATATAGATATGTATATATATATATATATATATATCCAGACAGACAGGTACATCACGTAGTATAACATGACATAATGTGGTACAATCTAGTTTGTACAGATAGATCGATCTATAAGTTGGCAATATGCATATGACATATGTTTGGTTTAGGGATTGCTTGCATTCAGGTTTTTAATGTTCACTTCATATTAAGAAAGGGGGCCCCCCCCCCCCCCACCCCCGCAAGGATGGGAGCCTCAGCTTCCGTAATAAGAGTCCGGGTCCAGCATGACAGCCATTCATCAGTGTCATAGTGCTTCTGCAGTGTTCGCGAATCCGCTGAGCAGAACCCCCAACAGCCCCAAAGCCTTTTCAGCTCCTGTAGATTCTGCTTACAGTTTTTTAATTTTTCCGCTAGGCCGCTTGGATTCTGCAAATACGGGGGGGTTTCTAATTACGTTCTGGGAATTGGATTTTGCAATTTCGCGGGGGATTCTAAATATGAGGTTGACATTATGCAGGTCGACGGAGGTGGGATTTGGCCTTTATCCGGTTCCAGCGTTTGGACAAAGGTTCCTACCGCTGAGGATGTAAATCCTGCATTACCACAATGACCCTATACTATGGGGTCTATTCCTTATTATGGGTAATGCAGGGTGTATATCATCAACCGTATCGTGGTTATAGTCGAGTTGTTAGGGTTCAGGGCTTTGGGTTTATGCAAGCTTCGGCTTAAGAGCTTCGAGGAGTTTCGCAGATGACTGGCATGGTTCCGGCAGTCACGCGCTTGACAGTAGGCTGTGGTACCTGTTTGTGATCCGGACTAGACTATATCCTGCAGATCCTACACATCCTAATCGTTGTCGTGTGTGCCCCGCAGCGCATTTTTTTGCAAAATTGATTTTTCCGGACATAAGATAACCTCAGATGTCGACTACGGTGGAAGTTGGGTTGTTATGTAACTTACGCTATCTGCCATGTACTTTAATCTACGAAAGTTTTATATAACTTACGATGTTGCATCCACGGCTTGGGTTCGGAGAAAGCCAAGACATGGAAGACCGAGCCCCGACCAACAACCTCAGACCCCAGGGTTGAGGGCTTTGGGGTTTAGGGTGTGTGGGGTCTTAGAGGTCTTTAAAGGGATCTACCTTAGGCTCCTTTGACGGGATCTATAAGGGATGTATAGGGTTTGGGGATTAGGGTGTGTGGGGTTTAGAGGTTAGAGGGTTTTGAGTTAGGGGTTTGGGGGGATTTATGAGTTTGGGGTCCTAATACCCAACACCCTGAACCACTAACGTTTTGGTATTTAATTCAGGTGAGTAGGTATTAGGAGTTTTGTTAGTGTTTCACAGCCTGCCGCCGAATTCTTATGGGCGGCAACACGTCGATTACCGTGACAGTTGGACTGCTGAGTGGTAAGACAGCTACTGTGACAGCCGACTCGCATGAGAAGGTTGGAACGTTGAAGCGCCGGGCACAAACCGGACTTGGAGTCAGACGGGGGCAGCTCCTCGACTCATTTGGGATCCCTCTGGAGGAAGGCTTGCAGCTTAAGCGAGCCAATGTGAGAGATGGCGAATCACTGACCTTGTTCTTGCACAGTGTCCAGATCAAGTCCACGCCTTTTGCTTGTGCCGCCCTTCTGGAAGATGCATCCGTCGTGACTTGGGGTGATGCAGCACATGGTGGTGACAGCAGAGCTGTGCAGAGGCAGCTGAAGAATGTGCAGCACATCCAAGCCACTGACGACGCGTTTGCTGCTATTCTTGCTGACGGATCTGTCGTGACTTGGGGTGATCCTGACCGTGGTGGTGGCAGTAGTGCCGTGCAGCATCAGCTAACCAACGTGAGGCAGATCCAAGCCTCTACATATGCTTTTGCCGCCATTCTTGTCGACGGATCCGTGGTGACCTGGGGTCTTCGCCCGCATGGTGACGACAGTAGTGCAGTGCAGGCTCAGCTGAAGAATGTGCAGCATATCCAAGTCTCCGGAGACACTTTTCAAAGTGCATTTGCTGCCATTCTTGGCGATGGATCCGTCGTGACCTGGGGCCAGGCTCACGAAGGAGGTGACAGTAGTTCTGTGCAGGATCAGCTGAAGAATGTGCAGCACATCCAAGCCACTGACCGTGCTTTTGCCGCCATTCTTGGCGATGGATCCGTCGTGACCTGGGGTCGTGCAGACCATGGCGGAGATAGTACAGCTGCCCAGGATCAGCTGAAGAATGTGCAGCAGATCCAAGCCACTCGCAGAGCTTTTGCTGCCATTCTTGCTGATGGATCCGTCGTGGCCTGGGGCGACACACGCTTGGGTGGTAGCACTGGTGCCGTGCAGGATCAGCTGAAGACTGTGCAGCACATCCAAGCCTCTGACGGTGCTTTTGCCGCCATTCTTGGCGATGGATCCGTCGTGACCTGGGGTCGTGCAAGCTATGGCGGAGACAGTACAGCAAGGCAGGACCAGCTGAAGAATGTTCAGCAGATCCAAGCCTGTTGCCGCGCGTTTGCCGCCATTCGTGCGGATGGATCCGTCGTGACCTGGGGCGACAAACGCTTGGGTGGTAGCACTGGTGCTGTGCAGGATCAGCTGAAGAATGTGCAACAGATACAAGGCGCCCATTTCGGCGCTTTTGCTGCCATTCTCGGTGATGGATCGGTTGTGACCTGGGGTAGTAAATCCTATGGAGGTGACAGCAATGCCGTGCAGGATCAGCTGAAGAATGTCCAGCACATCCAAGCCACTTGCAACGCTTTTGCTGCCATGCTTGCCGATGGTTCCGTCGTGACCTGGGGCTCTGCTTCCGACGGTGGGGACAGTAGTGCTGTTCAGTATGATTTGATGAGCAGGTAGTATGTTGACTGCCACCTCTCCGTCTTTCAGCTTTAAGGTAACCGTTGTGGTGCTGAGCAGGGTCACTTAGCAATTATACTATCGCTTATCCCAAAACCCCATCCTAACTATTAAGGCCCCTATTGTGATGACATTCCGACCCAAGAACCCTAAACCCTAAACCCCTAAACCCTAAACCCCTAAACCCTAACCCCTAACCCCTAAACCCTAAACCCTAAACCCTTAAATCCTAAACCCTAAACCCGTACTTTTCTGGGGCCCTGGAAGTCACCAGTTCGTGCCTTTTTGCAGTGTTTGGTTCAGGGCTTAGGGTTTGGTTTAGGGTTTAGGGTTTAGGGTTCCTAAACCCTAAACCCTAAACCGGTTAGGAACCACATGGAAGAACAGGCTTAGGATTTAGGGCTTAGGGTTCAGGGTTAGGAACAACATGAAATTACAAACCGGAATGTTCCACCAGCTGTTGAAATATCGACACAGTCCGTACCACATGGAGGCAACAAGGAGTTACCGAGGACGCGCGACAAGCAACCGGAGAAAAGTTCTTGACCCAGTCAACCAAACAAACAAGAAACGCCATAAGAGGAAAGCTTGTGACAGAAGCTCTTAACAACTTCGATTTCGATTTGGCAAGCTTAGTATTTACACTGGGCATTCTCAAATCCTAGAGATCCATGTACTCAAATAGTATATATTCTGGCCTTTTCGTAGTCCTTATACAGATACGTTGGGGGCAAAGTATATGCTATTTGGGTACATGGACCCATATACAGATACACCACGATAAACCCTCAACCTTTATAAAAGAATGACAAGAAACCTTTAGAGAGGCATCCTTAAAAGAATCCCTTAGAGGTACCTGGACCCTTAGGGAAATACCAAAGGCCAAAGTTTCCGGGAGTACGGTAGATGATATAAGCCCTGCATTACCCATAAAAGGGAATATACCATAATTCCCATGGCTCAGGCTCCTTAAGGCAATGCCCTACACCCTAAAACCCTAAACCCTGAACTCTGCACCCTACCTACAGTCTCCATTGTAGTTCCTTTTTTGGGTTCCCTTATAGGATCCCTAAAATGTAATTGGTTAGACCAAAAAAAGGAACTACTATGGAGACTATAGGTAAGCCCCTAAACCGTAAACCGGCAAGATTTATTTCACCAACCTTAAGGGTCCAAGTGCCCAAATGGGAGTTTCCGAAAATTAGGGGTACATTATTTTGGGGTCCTTATCATAGGGATCCTACTATTTAGGATACTATATTAGGGTCCCCCATTTTCGGAAACTCCCACATAGTAGGGTTTCAAGGTCCAAAAACCATACAGAGTATGGATTTGGGGATCTAAGACCCTACTATGTGGGTACTTCGGTTGATGATATAAAGCCTGCATTACCCATAACGAGGAATATACCATAATTCCCAGAGTGTAGGGTTCTTAAGGTAATGCAGGATTTATATCCCTAAACCCTAAAACCCTACAGATTCCTTAAAGGAACCCCTTAAAGCTACCCCTGTAGATCCCTTTAAAGGATCCCCAAATCATCAACCGTTGGACCCTCTGGGCAATCGTATCAACGAAGGTCCTCGAGGTCGCCTCCTGAGAACTCCTACGCCATAGGGTTTAGGGTTTAAGGTTTAGGGGTTTAGGGGTTGGGGGTTTAGGGTTTAGGGGTTTAGGGTTTTAGGGGCTTAGGGGTTTAGGGTGTAGGGGTTTAGGGTTTTAGGGGCTTTGGGGGTTTAGGATTTAGGGCCGGGCTTAGGGTTTGGTTTAGGGCTTAGGGTCTAGGTCTCAGGGCTCAGGGATTGCTTTGAGGGCTTAGGGTTCAGGGTTTAGGGACGTAGCACTGCTTAGGCTCAAGTCTTAAACTTTTAAACACCCAATTCCACCGCGATGGCTAAGCCCTCAACCCCAAACTCTAAACAATACCATTCAGCATGTTTGGGCCAAGTGGCGAGGCTTCTAGTCGAGTGTGCAGTATTAAGGCTTCGAAGGTCGGTGTCCTGACAGATCATGGTGCCGCATTCCTTAAGCCTCACCCCCCAAGCCCTAAGCCCCCGCAGCTCTCAACCGATTCATACCTCGAACTCCCCTCAACCTTTAAATCGCTCTGGCGCATTCGAGCCGCAAATGTGGTCTAGGATAGGTTTGGGTGCAAATACCAATGAGTGCAGCTAAGCTAAGAAATACAGCAGGGCTTATGCACACGTTTGCATAGGCATACAGACATACACACTTCCACATGACACACATTCGTGAATGCATAGATACATACGGACATACCTTTCTTGAGAACCTTATACACATGCACATGTACGTTCTCACAAACACGTGTACACAGACACGTTCACGCACATGCGAAAACACACAAACACACACACACACACACACACACACAAACACACGCAAAAACACACAAGCACACACAAAACACACAGACACACACACACAGACACACACACACAGACACACACACAGACACACAGACACACACACACACACAGACACACACACACACACACACACACACACACACACACACACACACACACACACACACACACACACACACACACACACACACACACACACACACACACACACACACGAACTGAATAAACACCTACGTGTATCAATCATCCATCGGTCCATCTACCCATCAATTTATCCTTCGTTCCATCCATCCATCCATGCGTCCATGCATCCGTGCATGCATACTGACACATCTAGATAAATGTAACATATATTAGATGCATGCTCGTGCGTGCTTGTCAGTTTGCATGCTTGGATAATGGCATGTTTGTGTGCTTGCTTGCTTGCTTGCCTGCCTGCCTGCTTGCTTGCTTGCTTGCTTGCTTGCTTGCTTCCTTGCTTGCAAACGCACGACGTACACCCGACAATGGCCCGTTATCATGCGAACATGCATGTGTACATATGCATGTACTCATGATGGTTTATGGTTGTTGGTGCTGCCTTGCCCATGAAAGCACACCCGCACATATATATATATATATATATATATGTATATATATATGTATATATTTATATATGTATATATTTATATATGTATATATTTATATATGTACACACTTGCATATACACTTGTACACAAGTGCGCATGTCCTTGATTTTTCATGAGCCCAAATTCTTGAACCCGGAGAGCTGCTCTAACCCAACCCCTTAACTGCTTCAAGCTGTGATTTTCGTAGCCTTTATTCTCGCTTCTTCAGCACGACAGGTGCTGCACCAGCAAGCAGAGTCTCAGAAGCTCAGCTGCCAAAGCGTGAGTAAAAGTTCCATGAGGAAGGTTCAGGGTCGTTGACTGAAGAGGCTGCTTCTCGTAAGCCAGTTTCCGGAGCACTGATGACAGGGGTCGGGTTCAGAAGTTCCAGACAGAAACACATGTTTCCACAGTTTGCACTGGCATATGTTAACAAGCACTCCGCCTGGTCTTTGCATTTCTTTGTGTGGCATGTGCTGAGCTCTCACTTCAGGCCTGCCGGCACCCCAATCCTTATTAGCTACAGTTGTTAAGCCCCCCCCAAATATTTACTACTACTATTTTGGGGGTTCCTTAACAGAACTACAGTATAATGGGCCCCAAAACCCTATTCTCGGATGGCATCCAATGTTAATCCGCAAGTACTTCGAGTCACAACTGTGGCTTTTTGCGAGGCAGTTGGACTTAAAACAAAAATTCTTATGAACAATCCCTTGTCCGAGAAGTGGCCTATTCCTAGATTCAGGGGGAAGGGTGCTCCTATCCCTTGGATTCAGCAAATTCGTGCCCTCAAAGATGATATTGCTAATAATCGTGTTACTGAAAAGATTAGTTGCGTCACACAGATTGCTCTTGAAAGGTGGCTTGCTATGTCTCCCCAGGAAATTCGAAGTGCACTGCCGACCAAACCTGGTCCTATCAAAAGATTTAAAGCAGCCAAAAACCGCATTACTAGATTCAAAGATGTTCTTGAAAGATTTAAGCAAGATCTGATTCTTGAAAATGATTTCCACACACATCTTCTTGAACCCGTTTGGGCACCTGTTGAGGTCTGTGCAGGTTGCAGCAAGGTTCTTAACTTCTCTGCCGAACCGCGCAACATCACTCGCAGATGCCATGGCACCATCCATTTTCCTGTACAGTTGCTCGACAACTGGTCATTAAAATATGACTCCATGTTGCGAGACAGAGAAGATATCATTACCAAGCTAGCCTAGATGGCCGTGGCTCATAAGCAGCTGCGCTATTGATGGATGCACCTGTCATCTTAAGACTTGTTCGCCTCAGACGCATGTCCGACTCGCCCCAAAACCCTATTCTAACTAACAATGCCCCGATGTATAGAACCCTATTATAGATCCCTTATAGACCCCTTTAAGGATCCCTTTAAAGGGCACCCTGTTCTAAGTATTCAGGCCCCTATATTACCTTGTATTTGCAGGCCTAGCTGCTCTGCATCAAGTCCAGAAATAGATGTCTCAAAGTTGGACAAGGAAGTCATGAAATGGCGGAAAGAAGCGGTTTAGGGCATAGGCATAGGGTTCAGGCTTGCTAGCATCAGGATTTGCCACCTAGTTCCGAGGATGTTTGAAGCACGTTTTCTTTATGTTAAGAACTTTGGTATGCTCCCGAGGAAGATGACAGCCCATACACTGGCAGCCAAGAATGACACGATGCAGAAGCTCCTCGGCTTATTCTCAGATCCCATGAGTTTTAACCAGGTACCAATGAGCAAAACGCTTTTAACCAAGGTGTACATACTATAGGGGCCTTCATAATTTCCTATACTACTTTTTTTTTTTTGGGGGGGGGTGTTTCTCATTATGGCTTTTTAATAAAGGGCCGCAAACCCCTGTTCTAATTATTCAGGCCCCATATTATTTCATAGGGCTTTGGGGTCGGGATCTGGGGTTGAGGCTAGGCATTCGGAGTTTATCCAAGGGTAAAAGGAGAGACCCTTAATAAGGACCCCTAGGTATATACCCTTATTATAGCTATTATATGCCCATTATATAGCCCATTATAGGCTAGGGGTCCCCATTAAGGGTCCCTCCTTTTCCCCTTTGGGTTGAGGGTAGGCATTCGGAGTTTAGGTCTGCATGTTGGGACATTCGCGTGTGGAGTCCAGGGCAACGGCTGCAGATTTTTTGTAATAACCTAGGGGTACTTAGAAATGACTTTGATTTTCTGGTTATTATAATCCCTAAGAAACAGCTAAAATTATAGTTGTTGCTAGGGTTCTAAGTTCAGTATAGACTATAGGGGCCCGAACAATTGGAATAATTAGGATTTTGGGGTATATGATACTTTAAGTATAATGAGGAACCCTCAAAATAGTATTGGTACTGATTTTAGGCCTCTCTATAAGTATAATAGGGAACCTTCAAAAATGTATTGGTAATGATGTATGCCTCTATAAAATGGGGCTTTAAGCGCTTCGACTGGAACTGTCTTGTAACACATAGGGCCCAAGTTGGAGGGTTGAGTTTAGGGTTTCGGGTTTAGACTTTCGGGTTCAGGCTTTAGGGTTTTAATTCGGGTTTAGGGTTTTGGGATCAAGCTACCAGCTACGCCTCCGTACTCTACTCCAGTGCGACGGCAGACGACAGAGAGCTTGTGTTTGTCCGATGTGCACTGACACGGCACAGTCACAACTCCTCAAGAGCTGATTCCGCTCCTACTCTAGTCCTCCCACTATGGCGATGTTGTTCGCTATTGCTCCTGCTGATTGGAATTACTCCTACCAAGGTACATGATGGTGAAGGCGACGACGATTACTACGACCACTACTCGCACTCCTGCTCCTTCTCCTATTTCTTCTTCTTCTTCTACTACTACTACTACTCCTACTCCTACTCCTACTCCTACTTCTACTCCTACTCCTACCACTACTACTACTACTACTACTACTACTACTACTACTACTACTACTACTATTACTACTACTACTACTACTACTACTACTACTACTGCTGCTACTACTACTACTACAACGACTACCACTACCACACCACTACCACTAGCTACTACCCACTACCCACTGCCACTACCACTACGACTACGACGGCGACTACTACTACAGCTACACTTCCTACTACTGCTACTGCTACCACTGCTAGTACGGGCACTGCATTTGCTGTTACAGGAATACTAGGATTTTTGGCACGGCCTGGTAACGTGTTAGTAGATGTCAGTAGTGTCCGCGCAGGGATTTCGGGCGTAATGTTTGAGGTTTATGTTGTAAGAATACAGACGGTCTAGATTTCTGAACCAACTTCTGAGGAACCAAGTTGCACAAGGGCCTGCCAGCGAACATTCTCAGAGTATCGTGTCTTCGTCCGGTGTCTTCGTCTCGGATACAAAGTGGATCCCCCAAGCCCTGCCCGGAAGCACCCTCGTATACACACAACGGCAGCCCCTAATGCAGAACCGTAACTCAAAGGGGAAAAGGAGGGATCCTTAATGAGGACCCCTACCCTATAACGGGCTATAGAATGGGTATAGAATAGCTATCTTAGGGGTATAAACCTAGGGGTCCTTATCGAGGGTCCCTCCTTTTCCCCTTTGAACCTCAAAACCCCATCAATCCATCGACGCCAGACTCTTCAGGGCCCCGGGTCCGAAACTTCCCAGAGCCTCCAAAACCCCTTAATTAAGGAATATACCTTAAATTATAATACCCAGCCCTTCCAACCCCCTCAAAAAATGAGGGCGTATCGTGAACGACCTAACTTTTTAGGGTGGCATAGCCACCCTGCCCGAACCCACGTCAAAAGTGATGAATATGATGCTACATATATCATCGCCGAACAGGACTGAACCCCCGTCAAATACTTTAGGTCTTAAATCGACAACCACCGTCAAAATACTGTATGCTTATGTTTGCCAACAACCGTAAAAATCCTATGTAGTTGGACCGGGGTTCGGGTTTAGGGTTACGAGATTGAGGGTACCTCTAGGGCTTATCATACAGGGATTTAGGGCTCTAGGGTTTAAGGGCTTCGGGCTTGGAATTTCGGCTTTGGGCTCGGAGTTTAGCTGGGGTTTGAGGCCTAAGCCTTTCATATGTAGTTGGACCGGGGTTCGGGTTTAGGGTTACGAGATTGAGGGTACCTCAAGGGCTTATCAAACAGGGATTTAGGGCTCTAGGGTTTAAGGGCTTCGGGCTTGGAATTTCGGCTTTGGGCTCGGAGTTTAGCTGGGGTTTGAGGCCTAAGCCTTTCATATGTAGTTGGACCGGGGTTCGGGTTTAGGGTTACGAGATTGAGGGTACCTCAAGGGCTTATCATACAGGGATTTAGGGCTCTAGGGTTTAAGGGCTTCGGGCTTGGAATTTCGGCTTTGGGCTCGGAGTTTAGCTGGGGTTTGAGGCCTAAGCCTTTCATATGTAGTTGGACCGGGGTTCGGGTTTAGGGTTACGAGATTGAGGGTACCTCTAGGGCTTATCATACAGGGATTTAGGGCTCTAGGGTTTAAGGGCTTCGGGCTTGGAATTTCGGCTTTGGGCTCGGAGTTTAGCTGGGGTTTGAGGCCTAAGCCTTTCATATGTAGTTGGACCGGGGTTCGGGTTTAGGGTTACGAGATTGAGGGTACCTCAAGGGCTTATCATACAGGGATTTAAGGCTCTAGGGTTTAAGGGCTTCGGGCTTGGAATTTCGGCTTTGGGCTCGGAGTTTAGCTGGGGTTTGAGGCCTAAGCCTTTCATATGTAGTTGGACCGGGGTTCGGGTTTAGGGTTACGAGATTGAGGGTACCTCAAGGGCTTATCATACAGGGATTTAAGGCTCTAGGGTTTAAGGGCTTCGGGCTTGGAATTTCGGCTTTGGGCTCGGAGTTTAGCTGGGGTTTGAGGCCTAAGCCTTTCAGCACAATGTTTTTACTGGGTTTCGGGCTTGGGGTTCAGCTACTTCGAAAGCTCTGAGGCTTGGGGTTTTGCTGGAGGTTCAGGGCTGAAAGCTTGAGGTGTCGTGCTAGAAGAATGTCGGGTTTGCCTACTCCTGCCCCCATAGAGCTCGAATCATTTTCGTTCCCGGGTGGAGCCATCACTGCTTCCTGCCAGCCGCCTGCTCGTTGAGCCCAATCCTGCCGAGAGGCCGGGAGTGCGAAAACTGCGAAATGAATTTCCGAAGCCGGCCTCCGGAACTTGTGCATCATCGCGATGAACCTGACCAGGAATTTAGAATTGCGTGCGAATATGTGAAATGTGCCTGTGCTCAAACATGAGCCTGTAGCCCAGAATTCGCAGAATGTATCTCTCGATTTTTTTCGGCGGTGCTTTCACGGCCAATCCTGGCTCGAACTCGGAACAACTGACAGCTTCAGTATTGCATGTGGCATGTGGGTACGGAATGCAACCGAAAATCGTTTGATGAGACCCATCTGGTCTTCGTCATTTAAGCCATGAACGAAACGTTGATTCATTCCTCGGCTAGAACGACTCGAGCATTGCAAATGATCAGGAAATCCATGCGGCCACGGCACGAAATCTGCGAGTTCGCAGGAGCTGCTCGTGGAATGCCTTGGCCCGAAGCGATGCTTTCAGCGAAACTCGCTACACATCACGACACCGAAATTCGGACAAGCAGCATGAGCCTTCGGTTTGAGCTTCCATCGGAAGGCACCGGTTCTGAAACAAAAGCCAAGCAAACACGTGCACCGTCTGGTTTAACGTGCTCCTTGGTCCTAGCCTCTGGCAGAGATCTGTCAGGGCCATGTGGGATCGCAAGAAATCCATGCCCGCATTGTAGATTTCATTGGCGGCTGCCACATTCCTGAATGTCGACCGACAGACAACATTCATCGTATGCAGCACTTGCGATATATCTGCATGCGTACAAGCAGCAAGAACCTCGGTTCTCCTTCGGAAAGAGCAAAGTACCGATCCAAAGAGATCCTTGGTAGTACATTGTGTTTCCAGGCCTCAGGCCCCTGGAACAAGGCTTGCACACCAGCCACCGGAAACAAACACAGGCCTACATCTATCAACGAAGCACCGCAATCTGCACCAAGCATCATTGCAAAGGTTTGCAAAACCTGCTCGTCTGTTGGATTGGCTGTTGCTTGCAGCACTTCTTTGCTTGTGTCCGACAGGAAAGAAACCAGAACTCGAGAATTATATCCCTTCGCAGAGAAATATGCTCCGTGGGCCTTCTTGTACAGCGTTTTGATCGTGAAGCGCCTTTGGGAGCACTTGAGGCCCCTACCGGATGTCTTTTGCCAATTCTTGAATTTACCATATGCCCGATGCAAGCAATCGCTTTTCTCGCCCTGGCCGAATGTCCCCTGTTCCAAATGAAAATCCAATGTTCCTCCATTGGCAGTCCAGCAAAGGCCAAGATTAAGATTGTGGAGGGAGCACCATTGAATTTTGTTCACATGGAATTCTCTGAGAAGCAGAATCGGTGTGGAGTTCGGCTTCAGAATGGAGATGAACGAATTGAAGTCTCGCCACGGAAGATCGTTCGGAAGTTTAGGAAAATCTGCCCGGGGCAGCTCACAGTGGTGGCAAAAGAGACCAGGAGAATTCCAATGGGTGCGAAGTTGTAGGCCCTCCCTCAGATACTTCCAGTCGCCAGAAATCTCGGTGACGACAAACCTGTGCCCTGTCTCGGTGGCGTAATCATAAGCACGGTTCAAAGACCAAACCAGCCTGGCGATAATTGGTTGGAATGTTGGAAAACCG